GCAACATGTAGATATTCAATATAGAGATATTCTTTGTCCTGAACCTAATTAATTTGTATTTTGACAATTTATATCATATTATTATTTTTAATTATATTATTTATTTTAATCAATAATTGTATTATTTATTTTTATCAATAATTATATTATTTATTTTTATCAATTGCACAATTTCAGTATGTAGATCACTTCCTTTTCCATTTTTGGATTTTTTGGATTCATTTTGTTATCCCTGTAATTAAACTTTTTTATTATGCAAAAATGGTTTAATATTGTTACTAGTCATAGTCTTTATATCATAGAGTAATAATATGCAAAAAACTCAATTTTGGTTGGAAGTCCTCAGACCCCCTTTTTGCTGGTGGACATCCCATATATACATATAGAATAAAAAATTATCAAATAATATTTATTTAAAACATACCAATTCAATTCAACAAAAGATTTTAACATATTCATCTCTTCATGAAGAGGTCCAGGCAACAAGATAATTCCTGGATAATCTTTTTTGATTTTTTGTGCAAGATAGTAAGGAACTCCATCACACATAACAGCAATCCATTTTCTTTCTCCTTTGTTAACTCCACTGATCTCTTGTATGTGATCCAAAACCTTACAAACATTGATAATGGAATTTGGGTTTACTGGCAAAGGATCAGGAACAATAATATCAGGTACATTGACACCTTCCTCAGGCACTGATTTTTGGGTTATACTAATTGGATTTGTATTAACTTCTGGTGCTTTTTCTCCAAATATATAATTTTTAATAATTAAAGATTTTGTGTCATTTTTGTCAGACGTTACTTGATTTATTTCTTGTGTCTCTGTTTGGAACTCTGAAAGCATAGGCAATGGTGTATTACACTGAGGACAATTACACTTTAAATTTTTTATTTCTTTCATACCACATTTACTACACCTCTTTTGTTTTCCTATATTTGAACTATGATTATCCACCAGATTTTACTTGCAAAACAACTTAAGTAGTCTGTTCAACAACCTTACATTTACAATTACAATAATATTACCAGTATTTCCGAATTAACCTTTGGGTGATGCTTCATTGACACTCACCAGTTAACCTTAACCTTTACTTACTCACTAAAGCAAATTATGTTACTGATTGTCACTAGTTAACTAACGTTAGTCTTAATCTTGCTTGTTTGCTCACTAAAAGCAAATAAACATGGCTTTTTAGCAAAGCTAAAGCTCCACAATTGTTTCCCAATTACACTTGTTACTTTAAACAAGAAAATAAAGACAATGTTTTTTTTATTTTTATTTTTAAAAGTTTATTAATGATTAATTTTATTTAATAAAAATAATGATTATGGCAAAGGATCAGGAACAATAATATCAGGTACATTGACACCTTCCTCAGACACTGGTTTTTGGGTTATACTAATTGGATTCATATTAACTTCTGATGCTTTTTCTCCAAATATATAATTTTAAATAATTAAAGATTTGTGTCATTTTTGTCGGATGTTACTTGATTTATTTCTTGTGTATCTGTTTGGAACTCTGAAAGTGTAGGCAATGGTGTATTACACTGAGGATATTATGCTTTAAATTTTTTATTTCTTTCATACCACATTTACTACACCTTTTTTGTTTTCCTATATTTGAACTATGATTATCCACCAGATCATCAATAGGATTTATCATTTGATTTTTTTCTTCAGAAGCTTCACTTATGATAATGGAAAGATAATCGTAAAGCTGTTGATCAAGTAATTCTTGAATTTCTGGTGTAATGGTAAAAGGTTCCTCAATCTGTGTTGAATTTAATGTCTCATATAACCAAGGGTCTTTGAGAGCTTATATTTGATTATTAGGATCAAAATTGAAAGAAACAAAACTTGTAACTATAGTTGGCACCGAAAATACAAATGGGAAAACCGTAAATAAAAATAAAATAAAAGTTGCCATAATTAAATTCCGTAAATAATTTTGGCTACCATAAATAATTTTGGCACCATAAATAATTTTGGCACCGTAAATAATTTTGGCTGCCGTAATCCCATAAATAATATTGGCTACTATAATTCCATATAATTTACAATAATAATTATTAAAAACACAATTTTATTTTATTTATAATATCATCTATATTATAATCAGGATCACCATGATCTTCTATATCTTCTAATGGTCTATTAAAATTTTCTCTTTCATAAGGTTCATTAAAATCTGACAAATAAAAAGAATCCTCTATTTCTAAATTAGGATTGTTGACATTATTATCTTGCATATCATCATCACCATCATCACTATTGTTGTCATCATCACTATCTTCAAAATTCCCTCTTCAGAAAATAATCCATCCCCATAATCATGTAAAGCATTAATCAATTGTTCCTCTGACATTCCTTGAGTAATGTAATTTAATTCACTGTTTGCATTCATTGTGTAAAAAGAATGTAATTTAGCCATATTAGAAACCTTTTCAACATCAAGTCTATAAAGAATTAATTATTAGAAAGATTATATGTATTTATATACATTGAAAAAATAAAAAAAATTTTTATTGTATATACCTATTTCTATGTTTTTGAGTGAACTAACTTAATACAGAAAATAAACGGTCACAGTTTGCACTATGAGGAACAATTGCTAAAGTATACAATGCAAGACGTTGTAAATGATGATGTTGTTGTTTGCAAGAAATCCACCATGTTTTTGGACATTCTGATTCCTCTACATATGGATAATGATAAGGGAAAGTGAAAGAATCATAATTTTTTATTTGTGTGATTAGGACTTGTGCACTTCTATCTCCACCTCCTAAATTTTTCCATACTTCTAACGCTGTACGTATCACTGAATGAAAAACTACAGGAACCATCCCATTGCTACAATACTTTGGGTGCAAAAAATAACAAAGTAAATAAAATTTAACATTAAATTGTATCCATCGTTTGTTATATATTTGAATACATTGTCTTTGGAAACCTTTACATTCTGTAGAGTCACTTATTGGCAACTGTTTTATTGTGGCAGCCATTTGAATGAGGATTAAAAAAATATCTGCCAAAGTGGAGTTTGTAGATTCTATACATTTAACAGCCTTTTTTGCAGGTGATAATACATTTGTAAGGCATTCAACATTTGCCCAAAAATTCCTATCATTTACTAAGTTATACAAATTAGTTGACATACATCTTGGATCTTTTTCAATCATATTTCTAAAAATATTTTCAAGTTGTAATACAGAATTACAGCAATCCCACGTACTGCTCCATCTTGTTACCACTTATGACTTAAGACCTCCACCCATAATGAATGCTTCAACTATTTCATTATAAAGTTGTGCACTGCTTTATAAGAACCTTGAAAATAACTTGCAAACTTTTGACATTGAGATAAAACATTCTTGCCAAAACTAATTTTTAAATTATATTATCTTGATAAGAAAATTGACTATCCAAAATCATTTGCATCCAGACATGCTATGGCTCTTTTACATAACAATCTTGGTGAACAACAAACATGGATTCAATACGTAATTCATAAGATGAAATTGGTCCTTTTTCTATACAAGATCTACATAATATAGAAAAAATTTGTGAGCAACGTGATTTGAAGAGAGAAGAAAATACAAAAAATATAAATGTAAGGAATGCAAAAAAACATGATCAATTAAATCAACTAAAACATGATATGTCAGGATTCAATTTTGATCAAGATTTGATTCCATATGGCCTTAGGCTGCAAGAAAAATTAAATAATAAGGAATTTCTTCCATCATTTCATGAATATATTTACAATTTTAAATCTTTGATCAAATGCCAGAATTGTTATTCTTTTCCCAAATATAATGCTAATGGATTGTGCAAAATTTGTTACTTCTTTTTTTTACAACAAAAAAATGATAAAATTTTCAATAAAAATTTCATAATTACCAAATCTCCTTCCAAATCATCAACATCAACATCACCTTCTCTTTTGGCTTTACAGATTATTTTTGGATATCCAACTTTCATGAGGGTCAACAGGAGGCTATAGAAAGTTTTGTAAATAATAAAGATACCTTAGTATTATTTCCAACTGGAAAAGGAAAAAGTTTGTGCTATTCAATTGGATCTTTGCTCATAAATGGTATTACCATTGTACTGTGAGATAGTAAATCTTGGACCCGGCTAATATTGACTAATTAGAACGAACTTACTACGGAAGTCATGTGATGCGCTAAATATATTATTGTAACGGCTACGCCGCAGATTGCGCA